ATAAATTATAAAAAATAAAGATATTAAAACTACAAATTAATATAAATTATTAAATTATATTTATGAGACAAGTATTAAAAAATATTTTAATTTATAATTTTATTAAATAAAATAAATTATAATTATTTTTAAGTGAACCAACTTAAACTAGTTTGACCATTATTTTTTACCAATTTAGATTGGTTTTAAACCGATTTTACCTATTTTTGACTGGTTCGATGTAAAACGATTTCTTGGACCAACCAAATTGATTTATGATTGATTCTCGGTCAAACCAGTTTGATTGGCCAATTTAGTTTGATTTTCACAACCATGATTCAAATTAAAATATAATTAGAAAAAAGTATTTATACGATAATTTAAATCTATATAATAAAATATTATATGATATTCAATTTTTAAAAAAAATTAAAATTTTATTTATACATTAAATTTTTTTAATTCAAGAATTAAATTATTAAAATTTAATATTAATCATATTAAATGAAATAAATCTATCTGGACTAGTAACCGTGTGAAGTGAAAAGTAAAATATTGAAGAAGGGAAATTTGACTTTGAGTCAACTGAACCATAATAATTGGGCTATTGCTCTGGTGCCCTTTTATTTGAAGGGGTTGTGGTGCCCCTTGTTTGTAAACCAATGACAGATTGACATGTGGTTTTAATGAGGTGAGTCACCTTGTGAGCTGGAAAGGTGTGACTTGAAAGTTGAACATTTCGTAAAGGGACAACAAGGTAATTTCATCGAAGGCTATCAACGTAAAATTTCCCTTCTCCGCTTAGGGCTTCGTATTGTGAATTTTACTGCCCCGTTATTGAACCCTAAAATTGGCATTTTCCGTCGAGGTGGTTGCGAATGTGATTTTTGAATGCGCACGAAGAGTCGTTGTTGTTCTCCGGAAGGCTAAGAAGGTAAAATTGTCCCTCTCCGCTTAGTGCTGTGGATTGTCGTTTTCTGGCGACGTGGTTGCGACTGTCCATTTGGAAAGCGCACGTATAGTCATTGTGGTTTCGTTTTTCGTTGTTGTTTTCCGGTGAAGGAAGTTGGTTTGTCAGGCATAAAGCGTCATCATCTCCGACGAAAGAATTTTCCAACGACGCATTTGACCGAAGTGGTTATCTGTTGGTGTCGGTCATACATGTAAGTGTTATGTTCCAGATACCTTTTGCATAGTGTTGTTGTGAAGAATAATATTTTTTATATGGTTCGGTTTGTTTTTGTTGGTAATTTGAAATTGTGATTTAGGGTTTAGGGACTTTGATTGTGTTGTTTAGTAATATTTGTGTTCGATTTTTCACATACTATACAGATGGCAAATTTCAATGGTGAAGCATGTGTTAATTTAAGTGATGACGAAGAGTGTAGTTTTGATGACATTGATATTTGTAAAGATAATGATATTGAAAATTTTGAAGAAGAGAATGAAGATATTTCTAATGATAGTGAAAGTGAAATTGATAAAGTAGAAAATGTAGGTTTAAGTGGATTTGATTACAAAAGTTATATTAATTTAACAGCAGAGGAGATTTTGGAGATGGAGTTCTGTAGTGAACATGATGCTTATAAATTCTATTTTGGTTATGCAAAGTATCATGGTTTTGGTGTTAGAAAAGATGAAGTTGGTTATGACAAAAATCACAATATTGTAATGCGTCAATTTTTGTGCAACAAGGCGGGTTTGAGGGATAAGAAACACTTTATTAGAGATGATAGGAAAAAAAAGCATAGACCTTTGACACGAACAAATTGTAAAGCAAAATTACGTGTTCATTTAGATGAAAAAATCGGTAAATGGAAAGTGGTATCGTTTGAGGCAAGTCATAATCATATTAGATGTGAAGATAAATATGTTTCATTAATCCCTACATATCGTGGGCTGTCTACTACAGACAAAGCACAGGTTGATTTGTTGCATGCTCAAGGTGTAAGAACATGTCACATAATGGGTTTCATGATGGAGCAAAAGGGGGGTTGTGTTGGTTTAGGGTTCAACAAGAAAGATGTTTATAATCATATTTCACAACAAAGATGATATAAAGTTGAAGGGGGAGATGTAATTGCTGCCTTAAGTTATTTATAAGGAAAGGCAGATAATGATGCAATGTTTTTTTCAAGATATGTTGTTGGTGAGGAAGGTGAACTGAAGCACCTATTTTGGTCTGATGGTACCAGCAGATCTGATTTCCAATGTTTTGGAGATGTTGTTGCATTTGATAGCACCTACAAAAAAAATAAGTACAATAAACCTTTAGTCATTTTTTCTGGAAAAAATCATCATTCTCAAACTGTGATTTTTGGTTGTTGTGTTGTTTCAGACGAAACAATTGAAACATACAAGTGGGTGTTAGAAACATTTTTGGATGCAATGTGCAACAAAGAACCGAAGTCCATTGTGACAGATGGTGATGGAGCAATGTGGGAGGCAATAAAACAGGTGTTTCCAAATGCTACACATAGACTTTGTGGTTGGCATTTGCAAAAAAATGCTTGTCAAAATGTTAAGAATTCAAATTTCTTAGCTGACTTCAAAAGAGCGATGTATGGTAATTTTTCATCAAGTGGTAATTTTTCATCAACTGAATTTGAAAAATTTTGGCAGGAGTTAGTTGTTAAGCATGAGGTTCAAGATAACAATTGGGTTAATGAAGTTTATAGGAAGAGGGGCATGTGGGCTCATGCATATCTTCGTGATAAATTTTTTGCAGGAATAAGGACAACGTCATTATGTGAAGGGATTAATTCTTGTATCAAAACCTATATAAGGAGGAAAAATACAATTGTTGAGTTGTTGTATAATTTTGAGCACTCCTTAAGGGATTTTAGGTACAATGAACTAGTTTCTGATTATAATTCATTATATACTGAGCCTGTTCTGACATCCTCTCTTCGAAAAATTGAGCGACAGGCTGCTAATTTATTCACAAGAAATATTTTTAAACAAGTGGCATCAGAAATTATAACTGCTGGATCTTTGAATGTGACAAACAAATTTGAAGTTGAGGATAAAGTTTGTTTTAAGGTGGACAAATTTTGTGAGCGTGACTGGGAACATAATGTTGGATATGATAAAGAAGAAGGTAAATTTGTTTGTGATTGCATGATGTATGAGTTTTGTGGCATTCCATGCTCGCACATAATATGTGTCATGCGATATGAACACATGGAGTGTTTTCCAAGTAGTTTGATTTGCAAGAGATGGTTGAAGGATGCTAAAAGTTCATATATGTCATCTTTTGAGTCAGAAGTTGAAGATACTGATATGATGGTTATGGCTCGTTTTGCATTATTGGCTGCATGTTGTAACAGTCTGTGCAGTATTGCAGCAAAAAAATGTGATAGTTTCAATTTTGTTAGAAATGAAGTCCTCAAGTTAAAAGAACAACTTGATAAGAAGTTGCAATTAAATGAAAATATTGAAAAAAATGATAGTTGTGATCCAAATGTGGTTAAGACAAAAGGTGCTCCAGTAACAAAAAAGAAGAAAAAGAATAGTAGAAAATGTTCTAACTGCAAGAAATCTGGTCACTTTATAACATGCCCTGCTGTTGTTTCTCAGCAGCATGATGTAAGTGAAATTAATGGTGTTTGTGGATCAGAAAGTGCGAGTATTACAAGTGCACGACATAAAGTAAAGTTATTTTGTTGGATTTGAAATATTTTCATTGATAAATTGATGTTAATCCCTATATTCATTTATATTGAAGTTGTTATAATTTGTTTCAGGGTAAACAACCAATGGTGAAGGCTTGTGAGGTTAAGAATGATAACAATTGTGAGGTTAATAGTTTGAATGAATTCCCACAACAGGAAATTTTGTCAATGCCTAATCCAATGGACACGTACATGATTAGTTTAAATTTTTTTGAGACCTAATTTGTGTGATTTTGAAATTTGAAAAAGTATATTATGATGAAGTGTATACATGGTATGCACGGTTTAATGTTAATATTTGAATGTGTCAGGCAAGACAATATATAAGTCCTTCGCCAGTATGGTTTGGCTCAAGTGGTGTTAACATTAAATGTGATGAAGGTGGAGTAATGTCCATTCCAAATTTGATGCCCACATATATGGTTAGTTTGTATATAACGAAAATGATTTTGTTGTGTTTTATTTTTATTTGGTCTTTGTAATAAATTAATTGTTATATTAGAATAATCATTTCAGAATTATGGTGTTCCTTCGAATTTTAATTCTGGAGGTGGTTGGTGTGAATTCCTACATAGTATGATGAAAAATCAAGGTGGATGATGTAAGTTAATGTTATTTTTTGATTGAATTTGTTTTGGCATAAATGAATTGTATGATACATGAATTATTACAACCCAAAAAACAGTAAGTTCATTTTGTGTGTCATGTTTAGGCATAAGTGGCTGATGGAGGAATTTATGACTTTATTGTGCGAAGGATGAGTAAGTTGTTATTGGTGAGATCGTTTTTTGACGCGATCATTGTACTGCGTAATCGTATTTGAACAATTGATACTAAATACCGTTGTATATAAGGTAAATTTGAATTTGATATTATTTTAATTAGAAATTATTATAATTTTGTTATTTAATTAGAAACAATTTGTACGAAAAGAAGAAATTAATTTGATAGGTAAATATGATCAAAAACTAAAAAAGTAATACTAATGTTTAATAAAAAAATTATTAAAAAAAAGATATTATGTGAACTGTGTAAAATTGAAATATAATTGTTATAAGCTAAAAAAAATTATAAATTATAATATTATTATTATGACACCTGTTGAAGGAAAAAACAGTCGTTGTCATACGTGTTTGTATAAATTATTGTGGTTGAGTTATTTTGAAATGATACTCAGCGAAAATTTGAAATAGTTATGAATTTAGTTGAAGAAAACGATTTATATTTGATCTGACTATGCATCTCGAAATTGACTAGTTAAATAAGAAAAATTATGTCTATAATTGGTGATAAATTAATGTACTAATGTTGATGATAAAAGGGTAAGAACATGATTACAAATTATAAATGAAAAGTAGATAAAGTAATGTAATACAATATCTGTTATGTATAAAATTGTTACAAATAAAAGGATACATCATTAGCCTTTTTGTACATATAGTATTTTAGGATTATGAGTAAAATAAAACTGAAGGACATCATCAACGACAAAGTTGTTGGAGTAGACGAACTCATACCATCCTGCAACGATGTACCTTTGATGAGATGTTTGTTTCAAGTCACATAAATATTGATTTCCATGTTCATCCTGTAAGACTATTAATTTTTGTTCCACTGGCATAAAATCCCTAATAATATGAGATGGAATCGTCTACAAAAGCAACATATTATCATTAGTGATGAAATATGACATTATATAATATTTTTGAACAAATTACCATATAAGTTGTTAATTACCAAAAAACTTACCAGTTTGAAATTTATTAAAATCTTCATCAGTAATTATTTTGAGCCAATTTTTGTGAAGCATAAACTGTTGTAAATTTTCTTCATCTTTTCCAATATTGTAATTAATTTCGATCTTGGCTTCAGAAAAGACCCTTATTAAGAAGTTATTATGTTCCAAATAATGAATCCAAACCACATGATTGTTTTGAAGATGATATCTTTGTACGAGTTGCAAAGCACCAGTCAACTGAAAATCAATACCGTCGTATTGTAATTGCAAAGAAAATTCATTTCCTGCAGGATCAGTAATGATGGCAACGCCAACATTCATCTTATCTTTCCAAAAAAAGTTAAAAGTTTCTCCAAGTTGCAATATATCCTGCATTAAATAAGTTAAACAAAAAGATATTGATAGACAGAAGTCGACACATTTTGTGTATGGATTAGTAGGTATTAAAATTAATATCTGTTCATTATTTATGTTGGTTCTGAATGTTTGAAAAAAGTTGGTCGAAAAGTGAATAGTACGTCGATTGAGGAATGCGTCTGAAATTGGGTAATCTATTTCATAAAAATTTTCATTGAATATACCTAGATGGAAATGATTATTTCCTATAAAGTGCATGAAAATAACATGAACTATGTTCATTTGATAGAAATTTGTCATATCAGTGCACCCACTTGTAAAGCAATGCTTGTTTTTTCTTTTACCAATTAGTAGTGTGTTGACATTGCCATTAGGATCGATGGCATAACATAAATCTGTAAGTAAACGATGACCCCAAAATTTCTGAAATTTCTTGGACATTTTCATTGAATCCTGCATATTATTGAAATAGTGAAAGTTACATTACAAACAACAATAGTTGATAAATAATATTACTCAACATGAAAAATAGAATGAAAATACCTTTCCTGGAGTTAATTTTCTAGCGAAAGTTTGAAACCAGTATTTGAACTTGTCGTTGTTTACCGATGTCAAAGAAGATGCCATGTTTAAAATTTGAAAAAAAAAAACAGTAGTACGAAGTGAATGCTGAATAATATCCAAACGTAGATGTGATTTTGAAATTTTTAGAGTCAATACAGACATACCTGGATCAGACAAGGATGAAGTGAATGTTGAATAAAACCGAAAATGAAGGCAATGGTGTTATGGTCGTCAATTATGGAATGTGAAAAGTGTGTATTGTAGGTTACTTTAAATAAGTCATTAAGGGGGGGTGTAAACCCATAACGCGAAAAGGAACGCGTGTTTTACACAGGATATTAATTACTCCCTCTGTTTTTTTTTCAGTCGTTTAAGGTTTTGCACGGGAGTTAAGGAAATCATTGATATTTTAGTTTTCAAAAATATTTATTACTTACTTTCCTATTTTACCCTTTATTTTTCTTTTGCATTTTTGAGATTGTTGAACTGCAATCTACTCTATTAATTATTAATGCATTGATTATACGTGAACTATAACCTACTGTATTTAATTATATCTGTCCCTTTTTTTTTGTTTTTTTATAGTATTTTGTTGGGAACATATTTCTCTTATAAATGCACATTAACTTTATATGGGTAGTTGGAGAAAAAAATAGGTAGACATTAAAAATAAATACACACATTGTTCAGTAAACATGTATTAATTATCAAGGGTAAAAATGGAGAAAAAAATTAATAAGTCATTGATTTTAGTAAAATGACAATGAAAAAAAACAACAAATTCTGACAAAATGACTATGAAAAAAAAACGGAGGGAGTATGTAATAAACAAACATATAAATATTTATATAAAAGTCGTGACACACAAACCGTATTTACATTTAGATTTACGAAGCACATAGAGATTTGATGAGGGATATCAAATCTATTAATGTATGACTGCGATTACATGATTTCGATAAGCAATGATGATATCAAAAGTATGCAGTAATAGTCATACAGGCGTGCAGTACGGAAGCATGGTCAGTTTGAATAATACATGCGTTTTTAGTGTTTACTTCCGGCATGGTCAGTTTGAATAATACATGCGTTTTTAGTGTTTACTTCCGATTCATTATCCCAATGTTTGATACAAACTCATTACAGTATAATAATAATAATAATATTTATAATTAAAATTATTAATTAATTAATTTTTTAATAATAAAAAATAAATGATTAACAAATTATTGAATAAAAAATAATCACATTTTATAATAAAATTTATTAAATGTAATACAATTGAAGTAATTATCTAATTAGTTTAGGGAATTATATATTTCTGTATTTTTGTCGTCATTGGAATTAAAAAAATGCATATGAGAGTAAATCACAGGAAAAGAAAGTATAAAAGTTACGAATGTTTAACAACAAAAATGTATTCAACGATTGACCATAACAACAACTAAATTTTGGAAACGTTTATCACTAGATATTCTGAGTGAAAAACTTTTTCCAACTTCAGGACGTCACCCTCTTTGAATTTTCTAGTCTTCACAAATTGCATTCACGCAGAACCCAAATAACACTCCTTACTTTGGCGGGACGATCTTTTGCTTATATATGATTCATATTGTTTTTTTTTATTGACATCAAATAAAAAACAATATCCATAATCATTTATGTTCCAAGCAACGACGTATTTAACAAGAAAATTCTGGCACCAAACAATAAAATAATTAGTAAAGTATATTATATTAAGCATATGTTAGTTTTATTAATTATTTACTGCAAATTTATAAAGTTGATTAATAAAATTAATTTTTAAGTAAATTATTTACTCACCAATGGTTGTTTCCCTGTAGTTGCTGTTTTTGTTAGAGTCAAATACCACGGTGTATAAACGGCCAGGTTATCCTCATTGGGCTCTTGTATTATGTTATTGTCACTGATAACAACAACTTCCAACATTGAATGAATTTTATAAAGTAGGAGTATAAGAATAAACAACTTAACAAATTTTTTAAATTCAGTGTTACCTTAGATTTTGAGAGTTTGGATTGTCGGGATAAATAATTTATTCACCAGCCATATTAAAAATAAGCATATCAAATGTACTATTACCTTTATACCCAAAATGAATAGTATGTCTTTTTTTTATACCATAAAATAGGAGTAATTCCTTCACTCCTTGTTCAAAATATCCGATTATCGAACCAAATTTTTTTGTTAAACCAAGAGTGAAAGTGTTTCCTTTTGGATCAATAGTTTGACATACATTTAACTTCCATTGCCATTGTTTAAAAAAGACATACTTCCAATAAATTTTTCCCTGAAAAAAATAATACATACACAAATTAAAAATGACATATATAATGTTAAGCTTTTGTTTATGAATTTATAAAAAAATTGAAAAAAAAATAAAAGATAAATACCCTTTTTGGTGTCAAAAAAGAAGTGAAGTGTGTTACTAATGGCCTAAGAATAAAAAAAATGGCATTTATCATTCGTAAATAACATTGACAAATAACAAATAAAAATAACAAAAGTAAATCGTATGTATTGTATATCCATGCAATGAATATAAAAGTTAAAAAAAAAACTAAAAAAATTGAAGTTGGACACACTAATGATACCGAACATTACCATTTCGGTTAAACAAGTTAAAAGAAAACAAAATTTTTAGTCACACTTAAAATGAATAAAATAACAAACATCAGCATCTACTGCAAAAGGCTAAACACATGGAATAACAACATAAATGAAACTTACTAATGATTTTTGTTTCCAGAAAAGATGGTATCATCGGCCATGTTAACGGTTTAGAGCGAAGAATATGAGAGAAAATTTCTTTTTAGAACAAGATGAAAGGGAAGAAAGTTACAATTGTTTGTCTATGATGCAAACAAAGCGTCAGTCTTATATGTTACAACTTACAAGTAATGACTAATGATTACTCTCCGAATAATGCAATTTAGAAGTTCACATTTTTCAAAGACAGTTGGTACATGTTTCGAAAAGCGTCCGAAACAGCATCCAAAACAACGTCCGAATGTTAAAATATTCATATATTTTATAAAATATATTCTAAAATAAATATATAAGTTAATATTTAATAGTTGAAAAAATTTGTTTTTAAAATTTTGAAGTTATTTGTAATGTATCAGTAGAAACTCTTTAAATTAATACTCGGTAAATTAATAAAATCTCTAAAATAATAAATTTGTCCGGTCCCGACTTGGGCCAATTTAAAAAATTGAAAAACTTGATAAAATAATGAGATAATAATTTTTCTCCCTTTATAATTTTCGGTTACAAGAAAATCATAAATTAATAATTCATAGAAACTAAAAAAAAATATATTACTCTATTGAAATATGATTCAATAGTTTTCTATTTTCCTTTAAAGTTCAAGTCTATTTGGAGCTCATCTCTAACTTTTCTTATTGCATCCAATAGCTCAGGTGTTGTATTTTTGTATTGTATCATAAAGTTGTGAAGAGTGTTCGACGCCATAAGTGCTTCCTTTCGCGTAACAGGCTCCAAAGACACTGTATCATCTTCGCTGTCATCCTCTGCATTGTTCTCAATGATAGTATCAAGGACATTTATCTTCCCTGGATTAAGATATTTTGCTGGTTTGTGTCTTTTGATCTCTGCTCTTCCCTTTTCTATTTTAGCAGAGAGATAGTCATCTGACCGCTTAAGTGTGTTTGATATTGTTCCTTGACTAACTTTCAAATGAAATTTTCCCTCAAGCCATCTCTGCAAGTCTTTTTGTGTGCTTGCAGGATTATCTCTCTTATACTCACACAACTCCTTACGTATTTGATCTGACATAGTTGATTTTGCAACACCTTTTAGATGAGAAGCCATCTTGTGAGATATGGTTTGAATACTCTAACACATTCATGTAATTTATATATGCCAAACTTGCTTAAGAATACATTGAACACATTTTTTCCTTTTGTTTACATTTGCTGTACTTCAAAAGTCATTATTGATTTCCAATGCATATGTATTTCAAAAGTCATTACGTATTGATTTTCAATGCATATGTACTTCAAAAGTTACTAATTTTCGTTGAGTCCCAAGGTTCGCTGCAATGTAATTCTAATAGGCATAGACTAATTTGCCTTTTTGTTTGGTATGTACAATATAATTACTTAAAAACTCTTTAAATTAATAATTATTAATTTATCGATAAATTAATAACTCTCTAAATTAATAAATTTCTCCGGTCCTGACATTATTAATTTAAAGAGTTTCTATTGTAGCTTTCATTTACTTCAAATGCAATACATTACGGACTAATTTTGTAAACTCGAATAATAAACCTGATTCACTTAAATCCACTTAAAATAAAAAAGTCATTATAAAAAAATTAAAATGTTGCATAATTCAAATAAACGGTTGTACTCGAGGCGACGTGAGAGGCAGGGGGGGCAGTTATTGGGAACAAAAGTTGCTTATGGGAGTAACTGTTCGTATACGTCATTTTTGGTATATATATCTGCATCAGTCATTTTAGTCATCATTCGTTCACTGCACAACAAATACAGTACGGTCATCGTCTACAGTATACACCACCGTAAATAGAATGGCACTTCCAGTGGAGTTAATAATCGAGACTTTTTTGCGGGCTCCCATCAAATCAATTTGCAGAGCCAAAACAATGTGTAAACTTTGGTTTTCTTTTTTTGGCGAATCTGTCTTCGCAAAAAGGCACTACACTGAAGTCTAAAATCGTGAAAAAAGATATGTTCTTTTCATGTTTCGTAAATGAAATACTATGCGTAGACACAAGCAATCCTCTTGTTGGTGAAGACGCAAGTTGCATTCTTCAGAACCCAATGTCCTACTCCAATGCGTACATGAAAATTATTGGTACGTGCAGGGGCATGATACTTTTTTGGGTTCCTACATCCTTGTTCATTTGGAATCCCTCTACCGGGTTTTTTGGTGCTTTTCGTGCATATCCACCTACTATAATGAGAATCTCGGGTGATTTTTTTGGTTTGAACTTCTATGGATTTGATTATGACCCATCTGAAGAGAATTATGTTGTAGTTCAAATTTATCTTAGTAAATGTGATCCATCTCATCATGCATTCGTCTATTCTTTGAATGGTGCTTCATGGAGGGATTTCGAAGATGAGTCCCTAAAGACAATTACACAGCCTTGTATTTCTGTTCATCAGGGATGTATCGGACTCTATTTTCGCGATTGTCTTCACTGGATTAGTTTCAACTGACAAACAAATATTGATGTTATTTTGGGTTATAATTTAATAGATTCAAAATTTTATCAGCTAAATATTCCTGGTGAAGTTGAATTAGAGGAATTTAGTCTTTGTTGTTTGAGAAATATAAGACACTGTTTGGCTTTCTATACTGTGAAGCGAGATGAAAACTGGGACTACATGGTTGGCATATGGGAAATGGAAGAATATGATGTCCACACGTCTTGGACTAAGGTCACAAGTATGCAAGTCAGTAATAATTTTGCAGGATATATGTTACCGGCGTGTTCCTCAGATGATTCAATTATCTTTGTCAACAGTGAAACGAGAGTTATGGCCACATGGAATGCAAGGGATGAGACATTACAATATAGGACTTTTGATCGTGTAGTGCAATATGAGCACCAGATGATAGTGTGTGAAGAGACACTGCTGTCAACCTAAATTGAATGTAATTTAATGCTTTAGTTACATTATTATATGTATTTTAATGTTTAACATGATCTACTAAATATATTATGAATTCGTATTTGTATATTTATAACTAGCAGGAAAAAGGCACTTTATGCTTGTATTATATTAAAAAAAAATAAATTATGGAAAAAATGAAAAATTACTCATAAAAATAATAGTTATTAAAAAATAAACAAATAATAAAATACTTCATGTAAAATTGAAAATAAAAAATAATTATTGAAAGTCATATCTTCTTTATATATTAATATAAATTTTTAAAATTATATATTATAAAATTTAAAATATATATTTTTGTTATGCAATTTCAACAAACAAGTTGATGAAAAAAATGGGTTATTGAAAACTCAAAAAACTTTAGAGACTATCTAACAATGATTGAAACGTACAATAAATATTAATGGGACACAGTTAACCATTGTTGTTGCATATTTTGCCAAAAGCCCAACGCAGCATCAAAAAATATTAATTACAAAAAAATATCATACAATATAAAGTGAGACAGAGTTAACCATTGTTTGTTGTTGCATATTTTGCCAACTTAACCAACAAGTTGTGTGTTCTTTTGTTGTAGATGGTTCCAATTTTTTGCAGCATAGTTAACAACGTCATCTTTTTTTGTGTTATATGAAGTGAGAACCAAATGAAGGGCTACATTCATCCTTGTTGCATTGTCAACCTATAATTATAATGGATGTACACATCATATTCAAGTAATATTACATAAAAGGTTATGTCAAAGATGCACATAATAACATAATTAATGATTTTACGGATAAAGAATTGATTACATTGATGTTGTAATCGTGTATCGATCCACTACTCATCATCCACTCACAAACCCATACGCCACAGTCATTTATGGTAGTTTCACAAAGAAAGTCAAGTTATAAGTTAATAAATAACTAAATTGTATTTAGTATTAGGCATATGTACAAAGTACAATATATGATATAGGAGAGTTGCTTACGAATCAGGAATTTGTTTGCCAATATGATGTGGAACCTTGATGGAAAATTATGAAATTCTAGGTTTGCTTGATGCCTCGAATTGGTTAAATGAGTCATGCAAAAACATCTCTTCCAAAAATAATGCCTAAAATATTAACCTGATAAGTACGAATATTGTTTTATTTATGTTGAGTGTTGTTCGTGACATAAGTATTTCATGACATACCAATTTCTTAACAGACATTTTTCTCATGGGGTTCCTGACATGGTGAGGTAGTGAATTCAACACAACTAGTATTTTCTCTCGGAGATCGACCACAAGCAGAAACCAATGCAAGTTGAGATCATTAATAGGAAAAAAAATCTATTCATATGTTAGTTACTCATTTCTTCAATATACTTATAACACTTTTAACAAAATATAATTAAGCTTTTATGCAAATTTAGATTGAAAACCTTTGTTAAGTGATCAATGTTTCCCATGTAATCTCCGTGGTAGTAGTCGATAATAGTTTCAGGTGGAGAACTCCAAGCCAACGCATATTGCTATAACATAAATATTCATAAATTAGGGTTTAGGGTTTAGGGTTTTGACTTTGTATATAAATAAAGTTTCGCTTTACATAAAACTTTACCGCGACAGTTGTAGGAAAATACCAAAACCCATTTCTGTTCGAATTCAAACGTTCATCATGGGTCAACATGGAACCAACCAGATTAATGACCTAATGGAAATATATTTTGTATACAAAATTATGTATTTATTAATAAACTAACAAATATTAATTAACATACCTAAGATCAAAAACATACATTTATTGTAACGTACCTCTTGATCCACTAGTCCTTTTTGGTAACAATGATTTGAGAGTCTGCCTATCCCCGACCATGTTAGTCGACGTACTTATTAGGACTTCTTTGCTGAAAAATATTATAGGAAATACTTCATTGATAATGATTGTGGTGGTTCGATGTTTAGGGTTATAATAATATAGTAGAACATTACTTACGCATTCATGGAGTCATCTTTATTTGAGCCAAATATATAGGCTGCAACCATGGCATGAACCTGGGCCAAAATCATCGTCATAGGTGGCCTAAATAACATTGGTATCCACTACATTTTATGATAATGAAAATAGTTTGGTTTTCATAATATGTAATTTATGTAAATAATAATCACACAATACATGATGCCTTACGGTGAGTATTTCGATACTTGTTTGCATCCCATCATACTTAACATTATGTAGTGGCTCCATGTCTGCCAAGCATCCCCATTTGTTTCCTGCTATTGTATGTGAAAACAACCTTTTTTTTAAAGAATCAGGTTTTTTAACAGCAGCTCTTGCAGTAGCAATAATGTCTTCCTTTTTTTCTTGGTCGGAAACATGATCAGGCGAAACAAACTGTGCCACACGTTCCTCACTATTTGTGTGTTTGTTTATTGTTGAAAGAGTACATGGTGAATTTGAAGGAGTCATCAATGAAGTTTGACTACTAACTAAATTAGTTAAGTTCTTCAAACCTTTAATAATCATTTCGACGGATGACTCTAAACGGGCCACTTTGTCCTCCAAAGCATCCTATAAGAAATCAAATGGAATAGTAGTTTGGTTAGCAACCATTAAAAATGAAATTACCAAACATAGATTACGGTCATTGAGTTTCATGTCAAGCTTTATTAATGATACCTGGCCATGTTTTCTATCGGTGTTTTCATCGTTGATAGAAGGATGAGGAATACTCTCCATGTAGTTAATGTAATATGATAACAAACATTAAGTCATTATCTGAATGCACAAATAGTTTGAGGAAAAATAAAGTTACATATTATAAAACAACAAAATAATGAATTATAACATATCAAACCTAGAAGATATCTCGATCACTTGTTTCACCTTGGCTGCCTTCTTGTTCCGAGTGTATGTCCTCCTCGTCGGTGCCGATGAAGTCTTGGCCGGCGCTTTCCTTTTCTTTCCATGAGATACCATCTTCGTGAAAATGTTGGATATTTTTTTGAGACAAAACTGAAAAACCGATACTATTGAAATATGAACGACTTAAATAACATTTTTTTATTTATTTTTAATTCATGAAAATAATGAAAAACATGTTTTCCAAAATTTCTAACGATGTTGATATTTGTTATTTGTTATTCATACAATGAAATGTAGTAAAATGTCAACTGTCAAAATTTTTGGAGGACCATGGTGGGGCAACGCAGGGTGGGGGACCATGGTTGTTTGTCAGTTCTGAGTAGGTGGTTTAGGGTTTGCACCTTCCAGGATTTACAATACTTGTCATCATTGTTGGAAATTCAACTTTCCGATTGTTTCTCAGTTCTCAGTAGGTGGTTTAGGGTTTGCAGCTTGCAGGGTTTACAGTACTTGTCATCATTGTTGGAAATCCAACTTTTCGATTTCCGAAGGTGTGTATAGTACTGTTAAGGCGACTTGTAATAATGACGATTGACATATACATATATTAATTTATACTTAAATATTGTTTTTAAACATTTCCAATGTATTTCGGAGGATCCACAATTTTAATTTGTTTTTATAAGATACTGACGATGTGTTACTTAACACAAATTAAGGATTTTAATATGAATTTATATGATTTGGAGTGTGTTTAGCAGGATGTGTGATTACCCAAATTTTATATAGTTCAGCTTGTATAATGAATATAGTGTTATAATATTCAATCATAAATATTAATATCAGTATTTTATTGCAGTAATTTGTTAAATTAAGGCTAATCATAAAGTGTCATATAATTGAAAAACCAAACGAAAAGCTTTATAATTTTAAATTTTGTTATATTTAACTTATTTTAGATTACAAATTGAATAACAAAGTATTTTTTAGCATAATTTTTTGTACGAAATATTTTAGTAACGTCAAATATTGAATATTTATAATTAACGTATTAGTAAATGTTGAACATATAAATAATTAAATAAGGCAATGTCAATGGTGAACTTGGAAAATACAAAACATTACACAAGTCGTCCAACAACAGTATTGTTGACAAAAAAACCCTACTTATAATGTAGAGGATGAAGTAAAAGTGGAGCATTTGGCAGGAAACCAAAACTTTTCATGAATTTCGTTGACCCATTTCTTTAACAGCGTCTAATCTGCAAGTAAAAATTAAATATTTGTCTAAGTAATTATAAAAAAAATTATTTTAATTATGTAATGGATAGCAAATTATTGAAAATATATTAACAATTGCCTCACTTAAGCTTTTTTGAGACAGACATAAATTACTTGTTTATCGATGACCTTGTGAAATCGAACAACATCGGTTCCACCTAACTGAAAATGTCGGCAAAACTGATACCATCCACTCCCAAACTTTAGTTCATTTGGGTAGCATAAAATTTTTGAACTACATTGTGTTCCGTCTGGATAGAAGACTGCAACCTCATGGTTTGCTCCAACAAATTCAGTGGCACAAATGTGTTTAGGAATACCCTTAATTCAAAAACATTAATTTCAATTAAACATGGAGAAAGTGGAAGTGTAAAGAAACAAAAATGAATTACATGTACAGACCAAAGGTCGTCGTCCCCGTGCCATGATTTTCGTTAACTTTAGTTCTCAAGAAACAAGTAATTTTTCAGTCAGAGTTGATGGCATACAACTTGTAACAGTGGCAGGATCAGTGATTTCAACATTAAACTTGAGATAACCGTCAAATGAAAACTTTGTCAATTTAGACGCACACATTTGCAAAGAATTAATGACATTTTGTATTCCATCTACGAAATAGAAAACGTTCATGCCATTTGTGTGCTCATTTGAATATCCACGGCAAACAGATATCCTCCATTTGTCTCCAACATGACTTGTTTCAAAAGACTTCCCCAATTTTTGCAGAAAAATGTTGGAATCTTCACTTTTTGCTGCACATAAATAAAATTAGTTATAAGCAATACTATAATTATGTATTATATTCACCAACCAAATAGAAGCAAAATAGAATAAGTATCATCGTTGCCTGTCCATTATG